GCCATGAATAAATTAAGTAAATTTGCTGACTAATTTTTTGAAAAGGTCGATTTTATTATTTTGCGAATCTTTGGTGTTTTAATTACCTGAATAATATGTGCGACCCAAATTCAGATAACTTGTGCAAATCATAATCTGACACACATAGAAAAGAATAGAGGTGGTATGTAGGGTGTGTCATTGAGCAAACTACTTTGCAAAGTGGCGAAACATATCTCTCTCTCCAAATTGACACATGTCAGTTTCTCTTGATAAAATATCCACTTCAAAGCCTATAATGTCATCTTATTGGTTGTAAAATATTCATAAATTCCATTGTTCGCATGCAAATAAAAATCAAATTGTTGTCGATAAAAATCATATTAGAAATTGTCATGTGTAAATTAGTTTACATGCCATAACCTAGGCTATAAGACAAATACAGGTCATAAACGTGGTGGCATTTCTATACAACTCTTTGTTCGTCGGATTCATCACTCTATCCATTCATTCAAACATCTATCTGTCTTTCTTTTCGTTCAGCCGCAGCATAAATTCCAACATCTTGCCAAACCATTTCGGCATCGCATGAATAGAGGTCGTCATCATGCGTAACAGTTATCGGTTATTGTTTTTATGGCTTTATTCGGCTGCCGGGGGACCTATGTAAAAGACGAGCAAAAATTACTTTCAAAATATCGATATTCGAAGTTGATTGGCAAGTTTTTTTGTTTTTATTTTTTTGTTGGTTTCTTTTACATCCATTCAGAGAAATTTGATTTTATACAAGATTTAGATATACACGCTAGCAATTGTGCGTGTGTTTAATAGGGTGTGCCGATATAAATAATGTAATTACTTCCTTATAACTAAAAACATATATAAATGGACCTACTTACTTAGCTGGCTTCTGACAGAATGTTTGACAGAACGAGTTTAAAACCAGTGAGCTAAGCAGTATAGTCGGACGGGACCGACCATACGATACCCTACACAACTACCACCGAACTCAAACATTCTGCGGATGTTCATTACGAGCCTGGGTAACATTTCGCGATATTTGCACCCGCATTAAGTTTTTGGTCCACTTTATCCAAAAATTATTATCTGATCATCACCGAAAATTATAAGCGCTGTCCTTGATCATAACTGGAACCTCATGGAAAATTTCAAAGCCATCAGCGCTATATTTCCGCCCTCTATTGTGGTAATGGGTTACTAAATAAAATCTCGGTACGTAAACTCCTGCAAATATGTAAGTGTAACTCTCACATCTGATTTAAAGGTCAACCACGAATCTTGGATATACTATCAACTTATCGGTCTCTGTCCTTCAGGGGCATATATATAAGCCATAGAATACAAATTTTGTAATTTTTCACACAAAAGTCAGGGTCCATTTGACCCGCTAAATATTGACCAATCTTTATCAAAACAGGCATGCTTATTCTTTAGACCGATCACGTTCTCCATGTAAAATTTTGTGATGTTCGGGCCATAATTGCGGCCTCTGGAGCGACCAGAAGAACGGACAAAAATTAAGTATTTGGTCCATTTCATCCCCTAAATATTAACTGATCTTTACCAAAAACAATAAGGGTCTTCATTGGCCAAAATCCATCCTACATGCAAAATTTCGTGAAGATTGGTCCATAACTGTGGCCTGTATCGTGTTTACAAATTATAATGGACGGACGAACGGACACACATGTCTGGATCAACTCAGCTACTCGAGATATGACCGGATCGGTATAATTGAAGGTGGGTCTAGGACCAATATTTCGCGGCGTTACAAACTTTTGGGACTGCACAAAGCTATAATACCCTGACAACATAGTTGTGTAGGGTATAAAAATTCCTGGTCTTCCGCACATCCCTTCCAATTTGAAAGACCATGTTCCGAAATGTTGTCTTTTGCTTCATCTTTCCACCGAATTCGTGGACTTCCCTTCTGCGTGAACCATCACTTCGCCCGCTTTTAAATGCATTTTGTGCTGGGCCATACTCATCCATTCTCACAACACGACGTAGTCGCTGCAGCTCGTACCGTCATGGTTCATTCGACGGCGATATTAACTGTTTACGCAGATCGACCCATAGATCCTTCGGAGATTTTTTCTCTCAAACACTCCAAGAGCTGCCTCATTTGGTTGCCCAAGTACCCATGCTTCAGATCCATAGAACAGCATCGGTAATATGAATATCTTGTAGAGCGTGAGTTTGGTCTGGCGAGAGGTGGCCTTGTTCTTGAGTTGCATAGTAGCATCTGTTGGCCAACACTATTCTCCTCCAGATTTCAAATATTTTTGCTTATAGAGGTACCGAGGTATATAAAATCGTTCACTACCTCGAAGCTGTAGTTTTCAAGTTCCACAGTTAGTCCACGTCTACTGGACGTCTTGCGTCCACATCAACGTCACCATTCCCTGTCAGTTCCACTCTGGCAGACGCCTTCTCAATTCGTTCAAAGTTGGCTGTTACCGCTCGCAATGTTCGACCCATTATGTCGATGTTGAAGGCGCAGTCGAGTAACATATGTTGATTGGTGTACAGAGTGCCACTTATGTTCGCATTTGCATCTCGTTTGCCTTTTCCAGCAGGATGTTAAAAAGGTCACATGACAAACTATCACCTTGTCTGAATCCTCGTTCGGTATTGAAGGGCTCCGACATTAACTGATTACCTCGTGCCATTAATTTCGCTGCAATACGGAACGCAGATATGATTTTAAACACCTCTGAGCGGATTTGGCGCAGTGTGAAAATCTGGTCAATAGTGGATTTGCCAGGTATGAAGCCGCATTAATAAAATCCAATAATATAGCACAGCACGCTGGAAAACTAATTCCTCTATAGTAGGTACATATCACCTTGTCTCCTTATTGTGCACGGGACACAGGATGCTGAGGCTCCAATCATTGGGCATGCATTCATCTATCCAGCTTGTTGTTGTTGTAGCAGCCCTATTGCATTTCGGATCGTAGACCCCTCTGTCGTGGAAACGATCTATTATTTCGTTGGTGCATGCTCCTGATCAGCGTTTCTCTTATTCTCCCGATAACACTCTCTCGCATTGCGTGTTGCTACTGTTTGCAGGGTTGCCCTATACGCTGCTACCTCAGTAGCATTGCGATACTCCTGATCGTACCATGAGTTTCTTGATGGTGGTCTTTGGTACCCAAGTGTTGCTTTTGCTGCAGTTTGTAGGTAGTGGGCAATTCTTTGCCATTGTTCTTCTATATTATTATCGGGTCAAGGAGTGTTTCGACTAGGTAGTGGGTAAGTTGAGCGGAGTAAGCTTTTGCAACGTGTAGTGTTTCCAGCTTTCCAACGTAGTGTTTCCGTGTGACATTAGATCGCACCATTGCTGCTACATTAAGATAAGTGCGAACCTTGAATGGTCAATTTGATTTCTCGTTGCTTGATCGGGAGAAATTCAATTGGCCTTGTGTATACCGAGATGTTCAATTAACTCTTGGCATCGTGATACATATTAAATTTTCTAACTAAATACTTCAAATATAAAGAACATACATATAGAGCCTTTTCGAAGCAGTGGCGCCCAATTTAATATATGAATTATGAGCAAACAGATGCAGGTGAATATTAATCTTCTATCAAGCAATCTGCTATTGCTTGTAGAAACACAAGCCATTGATAGTTTCTGAAGTATCTGATAATATTGTAGTATTCTATGACATTTTTCCAGTTAAAGAAGAGTGAAGTTAGAAATTCTTCGAAGAATTCCGACAAACAAATTGACCGTCTACGTTGCTATCGTTGATCTCTCTACCGAGCATGTAATAGCTATCCACGGTGAATGAAGACATACCCACCTGTCAAACTGCCAAAGTTCAACGGTCATATCCATTGTGTCTCCAGGTCCGACGAATGACGTAACTAGCCATCCCGGCATTTAATTGGCGTCTGGCCTCTGAAAGTAGTACTATCCTAAACCATGTGAAAGCCAATTTCGCATCAGAGAACTGCCCAATACTTCTGATGCTCTGGTAGCAGAATGGAATTTCTGAATCATCATCACAGCCGTAGCCGCTTGTTATATACCTGTAGATCAAATACCCGAATACCTCGAAAGAAAAAATTTCGAACCAAAATGCACGTAAAATGCGACCAACATCAGGTTTTTGGACCATCGTTGAAAAGTGTAGCGCAATTATCCTAACTTATTAGCATGAAAATAGACCGAAATGACCAACCATCGCACCAAATTGAAAATGTATGTGTTTTTCGCACCACTTCGGTCCGAATTGTTCAAAACGTCAACACTGTACTGTAAACCAGAATTTGGGATATGACATATCTTAGTCGGCATTAGTTCTTCATAAGCGGAAAATGTGACAAGAATATTTGAAGTGTTGTGACATCGATATCGGAGTAAGTAAATTGTGGGCAACGGTTAAGTTTATCTTGAATCAAAGAAGCAAGGGCAATCGGATTTCTTTCTCATTTAACGGCGTTATGGTGACAGATTCAAAGAGTTGCGCGAGTTCTTTAACCGGAAGTTCATAGAGGGTGTCGAGATGAAAGACAGGCCAACGAGAAGAATATTGCGCCGCATACGATCTCTTCGGGAGGAGGAACAAATATCCTCCAAATGCAAATGTCATGAGAAGCTTCGAAGTCGTCCAAGGCGTTTTTTCTTGATGGATTTGTCTAAGCTACCCTGACTACTGAGACAAGAGTGCCAATATTTACTTTTGATCTTATTTTATCACCTATCCGCCATCATGGATAAGCGTGCCAGGAAGGATCTTCATGATCATCCACAAAGATACCTCTATATCACAGTATGTTGCATAACGATATTGTCTTTTTTGGACTACCGTAACGATTTTTGTCTTCAACTTGTCTTTTGCATTATGCTTAAAAATGTCAAACTTTTCAATGGAAATGTCAGGTAGCGTCATCTGTTTCTTAGCATATGGATAAGGCAATCTGTGAGGAAATGGTCAACCCGAAAGTAGGGATACGTAATCGAGCGCAAAAGTCGACTTTTAGACTTTTCAATTTTTGCCTCTGACCAAAAAGTCGATTTTTAGACTATTCCATGTTTGCCTTTGACTAAAAAGTCGACTTTTCGATATTTCGATTTTGTCAAACCTGTTCAAAATCGATTTTCGACTTTTACCAACTAAAGCAAAATCGACTAAAAATTAATTTTTTTATAAGAATTGTTGTCAAAAGATGAAAAAAAGTTCGGAAATATGTAGTTTTTGAACAATTTCGGCTTTGTGATAATAAACCAAAAATTTATGAAGAAAATCGAAAGTCGATCTTAAAAAGTCGACTTTCCGATTTTCTCAAAGGTCAAAAGTCGACTTCGACTTTTAGACTTTTCAATACAAAAAATCGATTAGTCGAAAGTCGATTTACTTATCCCTACCCGAAAGATGTCTGAGCAAGGTCTATTAATAAGGTCACCCAAGGAGAAGGCTGCCATTTTGTTTTACATTTAACTTGAGAGATAAGAGCTGTTTTCGGATTTCGATACCATTAGGTTTGTCTGGTTCAGAAAGAAAGCTTTTTTTACTCTCTTTTGCGAAAATACTGAGAAAAGTAAACAGACAACATTTAGTAAGATTTAACAAATAAACAGCTGATTCAAGAAAACATTTGATTTGCGCCAAAATAAACAATCAAACAAAGGACAAACACAATTATTTGTATTGCATTTAATATTAACAAGTGAAAAAGCGTGAAGTTCGACCGGGCCGAACTTTGGATATCCTCCACCATAGATATATTGGCAGGTACTTGAAATGCAAATATAGGGAACATACCAAAAAATGGACCTATACCGATATTTCTACAACCCGATTATGTAAACAGTAATGTAAACAATAATTTTTAATAGAAAACCAGTAAGCGGAGCAGTATAGTCGGACGGGGCCCACCATACGATACCCTACACAACTAACACGGAACTCAAATTTTCTGCGGATGTTTATTCCGAGCCTGGGCAATATATCGTGATATTTTTACCCTCTTGCCGATTAGAGGTAAACAGCACCGTTTCCTCACACTGACATATTTTCCGAATATTACGAGTATTCAGTACAGCTACTGTCCAGATTCTCTTCACAGTGGGTTGTGGTGTGATGTTCATTTGATGTCTATAGATCAACTCGAAAATAACACAAAAAAATAAGTTTTCGGTTCACTTCATTCCAAAATTATTATCTGATCATAACCGAAAATTATAGGCGTTGTCCTTGACCATAACTGGAACCTCATGGAGCATTTCAAAGCGATCAGCGCTATAGTTCCGCTCTCTAGAGTGATAATGGGTTACTAAATAATATACGAATACGGAGATACCTGTAAATATTTAGGTGTAACTCCCACATCCGGGCACATACAACAACATAATTGGTATTAATTTAAAGGGCAACCACACCTCTTGGATATAATATCAACTTCTCGGGTCTATGTCCTTCAGGGATAAATAAATACGCTATAGAATACAAAATTTGTCATTTGTCACACAAAAGTCAGGGTCCATTTGACTCGCTAAACATTGACCGATCTTTATCAAAACAAGCATGCTAATTCTTTGGCCCGATCCTCTTCTCCATGCAAAATTTCACGATGTTCGGTCCATTTCATCCCCTAAATATTAACCGATCTTTCCCAAAAACAATAGGGGTCTTCATTGGCCAGAACCCATCCTACATGCAAAATTTCGTGAAGATTGGTCCATAACTGTGACCTGTATCGTGTTTACAAATTATAATGGACAGACGGACGGACACACATGTCTAGATCGTCTCAGCTAGTCGAGATATGACGCAGCGTTACAAACTGGCTGCACAAAGCTATAATACCCTGACAACATAGTTGTGTAGGGTATAATTATACCCTCAACCTTATGGCTAATTAGTGTGTATACACTTTCACACGGTGAAAATGTGCCTCATCGAAATATTGATTCTAGATCCCATGTTTCTTTGGACCAAATCCGTTTCAAAATAAATTGATTTCATCCCATCTTATCATTTCTTCCAAACTTAGTTCAAGTCCGAATTTGGGGGAATATCGGTCCATGCCTTCTGGTACCTCCCACACAGGGGCTACGGCTAAGCCTAAATGCGGGCTATAGTTCACATATAGTTCAAAAAAACTAGAACGTACGGTTCGTTCTAGTTTTTTTATCTCGATATCCTTAGCAGGTGAAATGATTACAACAGAGTGTTAGAACCAAATCCAAAACGCGGAATAATCAGATAATTATTTTAATATAAAAAATGGGGTTATATGGGGACTACCCCTAAAACGGATTGACTATTAATAATTTTTGGTAGTGAGATTTGTTACCATATACGGCTACAAAATACCAAATTTCAGTGAATTCGGTTGAAAAATGCGCTCAAGAACCTCAAAATACCGAAATTTGGGGGTATCTGAGAATATGGGCGCTACCAGAATATTATATATATATATTTATAATTTTTAGTGGAGATATTTGGTACCCAATAAGAATCCAATGTACCAAATTTCAGCGAATTCGGTTGAAAACGCGCTCAAGAACCCCAAAATACCGAAATTTGGGCGCTACCAGAAAAAATTTACATATATTTATAATTTTTAGTGGAGATATTTGGTACCCAATAAAAACCCAATGCACCAAATTCGGTTGAAAAACGCCCTCAAGAACCCCAAAATACCGAAAATTGGGGGTACCCTTATATGGGGGCTACCCGAAAAAATGGGCCTATGTTTTATAATTTTTTGTGGAGATATTTGGTATCTATTAAGAACTCAAAATACTAAATTACAGACAATTCGGTGGAAAAATACGATCAAATACAAAATACAGAAAATTAGGAGGTACCGTCATATGGGGGCTACCAGAAAAAGTGAATGGTTGAATTTGGTTGAAAAACGCGCTCAAGTACCCCAAAATACCGAAAATTGGGGGGTACACTTATATGGGAGCTATGCTTAAACGTGGACCGATATATCCCATCTTCGAACTTGACCTGCCTGCAGACAAAAGACAACCCTATGCAAAATTTCAGCACCCTATCTCAATTCCTTCAGAAGATAGCGTGATTACAACAGACGGACGGACATGGCTAGATTTACCCTGATCAAGAATATATATACTTTATAGGGTCGGAAATGAATATTTCGATGAGTTACAAACGGAATGATAAAATTAATATACCCTCCATACTATGGTGGAGGGTATACAAATAAAATGAACAATAAAAGAAAAATTGATTTGGTATGTTCCCCGGTAACATTTAAGCTTCCTGCATCAATACATTGTCCTCTATCTGGAACTTGCCTAAAAACATATAAGGAATTAGTTTCTAATTTAATGAAACTTTACATAACTTACGAGTTTTCTTCCATTTTCTGTAATTTTTATACAACTTAACTTCAATTTGAACTTAGCAAATTAAAACCAGTGAGCGGAGCAGTATAGTCGGACGAGGCCGACCATATGATACCCTACACAACTTCCACGAAAGTCTAACTTTCCGTGGATTTATTTTCTGAGCTTGGGCAATATTTCGCGATATTTGCACCCTCTTGACGGGTGCAAATATATTACTAATATTCGGTACAGCCTTTATAATTACTTGTCCAGATTCCCTTCACCCTTTATGTTGTGAAGTTCGGCTATCAATTGTGGCCTATAGATCGACTTTATCCCAAAACTATTATTTGTTCATCACCGAAAATTATAGGATTTGTCCTTCACCATACCTGGATCCTCATGGAAAATTTCAAAGCGATCAGCTTATATTTCCGGTTACTAACTCCCACATCCGGGTACATACGACAATATAATTGGTATCCATTTAAAGGTCAACCACTCCTCTGCGATATACTATCAACATTTTGGGTCTATGTCCTTCAGGAGTAAATATATACGGTATAGAATACAATTTTTTTAATTTTTCACACAAAAGTCAGGGTCGATTTCAATGCTCAATCATTGGCCCGAACCCCCACTCCAAGTAAATTTTCACGATTTTCGGGCCATAATTGCGGCCTCTGGAGCGACCAGAAAAACCGAAAAAATTTAGTGTTTGGTCCATTTTATCCCCTAAATATTAACCGATCTTTATCAAAAACAATAGGGGTCTTCATTGGCCAGAACCCATCCTACATGCAAAATTTTGGGAAGATTGGTCCATGACTGTGGCCTGTATTGTGTTTACAAATTATAATGGACAGACGGACGGACACACATGTCTAGATCGTCTCAGCTAGGCGAGATATGATGATCGGTATACTTAAAGGTGGATCTAGGGCCAATATTTCGCGGCGTTACAAACTTTTGGGGCTGCACAAAGCTATAATACCCTGACAACATAGTTGTGTAGGGTATACAAATGTTTTGAATAATTTTTGTGTTTGGCCATAAAACAGCTGATCCAAAAATGATGATAAGTTAGTTGTTGTTGAACTGTCAAACTTGCTCTCTCACTTGACTCTCTTTTACTGTAACAATTGTTACCAAATATCGAGTAAACAGACAGAACTATTATTGAAACATAAGATGGCGACAGCAAACACTTAATGTTTCATATGTAAAATATGTATATATAAACCGCATGTATATATAATGTGCAAAATTCTGGTCCTATATATTCGTCGTGTGATGTTGCCGTGACGGGAACACAGCGAGTTGGCTGAAGTCTGGCTGTAGGAAACAATGCTACTGATTTGTATTTCACGCCGGTCTCTATAATTGGCAATCGCTCGACTTTACATAAGTCATAAGAGTCTAAACGCAACCAGAGCGTCTAGAGTCAGCGACGGTCGTTTACCGTGTATTTCTTATTGGCAACGGGAAATCGCGACGGCTGACGTTTGCGTCTATTGAGTTGCCATATTTTAGGTAAAAATCAACAGTGCTACCAACATTTCAGTGGAAATTTATATCAAAACATATGGCAGTGCTGTTAAAAAAAAAACAAATATTTTCAAAGATGTGGACGTTTTTTAACGAATTAATAATAAAATGGAAGAAAATTTAAAAATAAACGGAAAAAAATAATTTTCGATAAGTTCATTGAGATTATTGTTTATTAAATAATAAATTGAATTTCGTTTGCACAACGTAAAATTTTCTGTCAGAAAATGAAAACAAATAATTGACATTTTGTGCCGCTAACGCTAACTCTTTCGTTTGGTTTTCACGCCGGCGAAAAAGTATGCCTCTGACTCCTAACTCTATGGTTGCGTTTAGACTCCTAATTGGACCATTCTCAAAAATGTTGTATATATATCCAATAAAATTAAATAGATTTTGTTTTAATTTTTCTTCAATACTAAACAATTTATTTACATTTATTTGACTACAATAAATACTTAAGAATATTCTCTATGTGAAAAAAAAAAACTATTTACAACAAGACTGTACACCTTTACAAAAAAAGTGAAACAATTAATATAATTTTTACAAACTTTTTTACATAACACACGAAATATCGTCCTTCACCAATTACAACAAGAGTACAAAAAAAATAGTTATTAAAAAGACAATTTTTTAAACAACAATAAATTTTGTAACAAAATTCAAAATCAGTGGATTTGAAACCTGAGCATTTTTTTGATTTTTTTTTAAAAATTCTAAACCCATTCAAATGGGTTTCGTTCGTTTTACAATCTTATACGCTAATACGAATTTTCTATGAAATTTAAGTGTGACATTTTGAAATTTTTCACTATAACTAAGAACTAGATTTTTGACAGTTTTCTTTAAATATTAAGACCCACATAAGAGAAAATAGGTTGTCAGAGTATTACAATTAGTATTAACATATTATGTTCTAAAATTTGGTCATCCTTGACCATATTGCACCCAAATATATGGATTTGTAGCTGTATTCCCAGAGTTTAGTTCATTTCGATAATTATTGTACAATAATCAGGCTATGGTCGGTAGTTTCGTTACTCTGAAAAGATAGCAGAAGGAAGAAATTTGATAAATTGTTAATGTTGTGATTTGAGAGTTAAACTCACCTTTCGATATTCAGAGTGTAATTTTTGCTCTTTAGAAAATACCAATTTTCGATGCCAACCAATAGAAGAACCAGCCACAAATCAAAGTTTTACAAACTTTATCCAAAACGTACATACTAAAATATGTGGAGAAATTAGGAAGTTAAAAAAGTTTTCAAAATTTATAATAAATTGAGCTAAATTTTCATTGACTATTGTGAATGGTAACTGTGTTGGTAACACAAACATTTGTGAGGCGCCCTCTACATATGAGGATATTCATAGTGTAACATCGACTACTTCATATGTTTAGTTTCTCTCATGATGTAATAATAAGGTGTTGTATCAAAACAAAAACCTTTGTTTTTGTATCGTTCATCTGTCAATTTTTTCCATATAATATTTCACATGGTTGGCAACACTGCACATCGAATTCAAGTAGAAATTACCCACTTTGACAGTTAATCAAGACATCAGCTGCGCTAAATGGACTACCTATTCATTGTGCCATGGTTTCTCTCATGATGCAATAATAAGGTGATGTATCAAAACAAAAATCTTTGTTTTTGTCTCGTTCATCTGTCAAATTTTTCCTTGTAATATTTCTCATGGTTGGCAACATTGCACATCGTATTCAAGTAGAAATTACGCACTTTGACAGTTAATCGAGTCATCAGCTGCTCTAGATGGACAACTCATGATGCAATAATAAGGTGATGTATCAAAACAAAAACCTTTGTTTTTGTCTCGATTATCTGTCAAATTTTTCCATATAATATTTCAAATGGTTGGCAACACTGCACATCGAATTCAAGTAGAAATTACCCATTTTGACAATTAATCATGACATCAGCTGCGCTAAATGGGCTACCTATTCATTAGGGCATGGGACTACCTATTTATTGTGCCATGCTTCCTCTCTTGAGTAAAATATTAACTCGAAATTAAACTCTAAGAGCGCGTTTAGACTACTAAATCCACTTGATTTGAAATGTTAAATCCATAGCGTATACCTAACCTTAATCATGTTAACAAATTCAGTGGATTATGGAATTGACATTTGAGATCGAGTGGATTTCGTAAAACTAAACACAGTTTAATATTACTTATTGGACGTTTTCTTTTCTTTGAATAAAAAATCTGGCCTTTCAACATGATTTGATTAATTAGCTGGCTCGAGACAGAACACTTATTGCCTAAGCCGATCTTAAAAAGATTTCCAGGTGCATCGGTCTTGTGTGCAGCTCATCCAAATTTGAAAGACCATGTTCCGAAACATTGTCTTCCACTTGATCTTTCCATAAAATTCGTGGCCTTGCCCTATCTTCGTGAACCAGCAGATGGCTCGCTTTTATACGCCTTTTGAGCTGGGGCATCCTTATCCATTCGCACAATATGGCCTAGCCACCGTAGTCGCTGAAGCCCGATACTTTGTCGGTGTCCGTGTATAGATGTTATAACTCGTGGTTCTATCAAACAATTTTTCTCTCAAACACTCCAAGAGCTGCCACATCTGCTTGCGCAAGTACCCAGTCTTCAGATCCATACACCAGAACGGGCAGTATCAGTGTCTTGTGGAGTGTGAGTTTGGTCTTGCGAGAGGTAACCTTGTTCCCAAATTGCTTACTCAGACCATAATAGCATAGTTTTGGCCAACACGATCTCAAAACTGATGTCAATTGTTTTATTTATGGCGGTACCGAGGTATATAAAATCTTTGACAAAACTGTAGTTTTCAAGTTCCACAGTTGGTTCGAATCTACTGGACGTCTTGCGCGTTGATACTATCAGCATGATGTTCTCGTAATTTATTTCCAGACCCACTTTGGCAGATTCTCTCTCAATTTGTTCAATGGTGGCTGTTACCGCTCGCAATGTTTGGCCCATTATGTCGATATCATCGGCGTGGGCAAGTAACATGTGATGTTTGGTGTACAGAGTGTCATTTCTGTTTAGCTTTGCATCTCGTATGACCATTTCAGCAGGATCTTAAAAGGTCACACGAGAGACTGTCACCTTGTTTGAACTCTCATTCGAAGATCTCCGAAAGGTCCTTTCCGACTTTAAATGTTGATCATGTGGAATGTGCGGATGGGTTTTTCGTGGCTCTTTTCCAGAATTTGGCGCAGAGTGAAAATCTGGTCTATGGTGGATTTGTCAGGTCTGAAGCTGCATTGTTATGGTCCAACAATATCCTTGACCATTGGCTTCAGTCGTTCACACAACGCCCTGGACAGCACTTTATATGCGATGGGAAGGAGACTACATCCTTTATAGTTGGCATATATCGCCTTGTCTCCTTTATTGTGCACGGGACACACGATGCTAAGGTTTCAATCATTGTGAATGTAATCCTCTGGCCAAATTGTACTAAAACAGCTGATACAATTATTAAATATTACTGGAAAATGTGTACCACTATGTCGGAATTCTCAAGTGCATCTCTTCCTACTCGAATTCGTTGGTAACCATATAGGCCTTAAAGTAGAGTTGGTTATGATCATGGCACAATAAATAGGTAGTCCATTTAGGGCAGCTCATGATGCAATAATAAGGTGATGTATACCAACAAAAACCTTTGTTTTTGTCTCGATTATCTGTCAAATTTTCCCATATAATATTTCAAATGGTTGGCAACACTACACATGCCCACTTTGACAGAAAATTCCCACTTTGACAGTTAATCAAGATTTCAGCTGCGCTAAATGGACTACCTATTCATTGTGCCATGGGGCAGCTGATGTCTCGGTTAACTGTCAATTTCTTTTAAATATTTCACAAGGTTGGCAACATTGCACATCGAATTCAAGTAGAAATTACACACTTTGACAGTTAATCGAGACATCAGCTGCCCTAAATGGACTACCTATTTATTGTGTCATGCTTTGTTCCATATGGAATGAAACTATTCGATTTTGTGCGTTAACATTACATTTACACATGACAAATTGTCTGAAAATACAACTCTGTTTTACTAAAACTTTCAAGACTGATAATTCTGACATTATACGAAACAAAACCTATTGGAAATTCATATAAAATAGAATAGGATCGCATAAGAATACAGTGAGCGATAAACAAGGGCATATATGAATTATTTTTGTTGTAACAGTTTTTAAAAATTGTTGGGCGCCATCTTAAAATTTTTGATTGCTAAAATTCTTAACACAGCCACACACTGAATGAACTTACCATTTGAAAATTATTCTAGCTTTGGGCACATTTTCCAATGGTTCCTTGCAAATATACAGACGGCCTCCAAAACAGCATGATAACAAATATCCATCAATGTCATATTCACGATTTTCGACCTGCACTTCAAATCTAATGTAAAAAAAAATAAAATAATAATTAATTTTCATTGAGATTTTTGTTGAAGAATATCTTGAACTTACTGTTCTAAATCCGCTGGCGTCAGTGTATCCAATAGTCGGAGTAAACGTTCATTGCGGAAATCCCATTTTCTGGTAGTGAAAAATTGCAATACTTCCAAACCGACAGCTATACGCTTTTGTATACGAATCATACTGAAAAGTAGGAGAAAAATAAGAAATAAATTAATAAAAACATTAAAAAATAGAAATAAATAAATAAAATATTTTTTCCATTTTCGCAATTCACATTAATTCATTTTGATTGTAATAAACAGCTGACTGTGAACAAAGTCGTTTGTAAACGTCAAAAAAATATTATAAGGAAATTTTAGAAACTGTAATGCAATGTTGCCAACCATGAGAAATAGTACTAGACAACATTTGACAGATGGTCGAATAAAAAACAGATATTTTTTGTTTTGATACAACACCCTATTATAACATCATGATAGATTTGAACAATATTTTGACTCTCTAAGGACAATATGTTGATCTTGATTTATTAGTTAATATAAAATTGTCTCATTCTAAACTAAAAAAGCATTTACATTAGAACCTTTTACCGGATTAACATACGTTATGAGAGTTTATACGACATTTTTACAATCGAATTGACAATTTAAACCCACTGGGTTAACGAAATCCGGTACAATGTTAAGGTACTGTAATCGTGGTATCATAACAAGTTTACATAAAAATGTTTTCTTTATCACTTACAATCTTCTCTGTCCCGCAATTGTCAGCAGACCATCAATTAGCACAGCCGGCAGCCACATAAAGAATATCATATTGAACATATGCACGTATTTGTTCATTGTAATTGTTGCATTTGGATACCATAATGGCCATGACAGCGGATATTTCTCATTCAGTTCAATGCCTCTGTTCAAAATCCAACCCCACTTCTTGCGCAATTTTTCTGGTAATACCAAATTGAAGACTGGTATTTCTTTGGGTCTGCAAAACAGCTCACATTTTATTAGAATCTAAAAACTATATTAAAAACTGGAAAACATTACCTCTCTTTATATTGTGTAAATCCATAAGGTATTATAATGAGATCATTTATGGCCACATCGACAGGTATCATATCAGCTTCTAAATCGAGATCACACATCATTGAGCGCAGAACACCACGGGCACCGGCTGTCATCACACCGACAGGTCCATTTAAATTGTCCACCCAACCGGGTACGGGATCTTTGTAGGAAGGGGTAACTATGGAGAATTCGCGAAAAAAAATAATAAAGAGACAGGGTTAGTTGGAAGTATCGACATATAGGGCCTATGAAATGATTCAGTTACCATTTCAGTTAGTTAATAATTCATTCAGATAAAGATCTATCTCGAAAATTGAATTTAAAAATTTGTAGCGTTCTATTCTATTGTTTTAGATATGTAAACACTTAAAAGTAAGACATGTTACCTGCATATGTATAGTATAAACGAGAAAATACAGGTTATAACTAAATCCGATTAAATTAATTGCGACTTGAGTGCGGTAGTGTCATATATCAACGATTTCGCATAATGTATTCATAATAATTGGCCAAAAAAGGCTTTGTGTACATATAAGAGTTTAAATAAAATAAATAACAAGTGAAAAAGCGTTAAGTTCGGCCGGGCCGAACTTTCGATACCCTCCACCATAGATATACCGACATATACTAGAAATGAAAATATAGGGAACATACCAAAAAGTGGACCTATAGGGACATTTCTAAAAAGGGATTATGTAAACCATAATACAAATTTCAGAAATTTTTTATGGCTAATAAGGGTGTATGCAATGGGTCCACTCCTTCTGGAACCTCCACACAGGGGCTAGGTCTAAATGCGGCTATAGTTCATTATCGAACCTTATGTTATAATTTCGTATTTCGCTATCCTCCGCAGGAGAAATGATTACAACAGAGTCTTAGAACCAAACTCAAAACGCGGAACTATTTTAATATAAAAAAGGGGGTTATATGAAGAATACCCCAAAAAGGGGCGAATATTAATAATTTTTGGTAGAGAGATTTGTTACCATATACGACCATATTGCAACAAATTCGGTTGAAAAATGCGCTCAAGAACCCCAAAATACCGAAAATTGGGGGTACCCTTATATGGGGGCTACCCGAAAAAATGAACCTATATTCATAATTTTTTGTGGGGAGATTTGGTGCCTATTAAGGACTCAAAATACTAAATTACAGCCAATTCGGTGAAAAAATCCGGTCAAAACCCCCCAAAAAGTGGAAATTGGGAGGTTCCCTTATATGGGGGCTACCAGAAAAAGTGGACCTATATTTATAATTTTTTGTGGGGCAATTTGGTACCCAATAAGAACCCCATGTACCAAATTTCAGCGAATTCGGTTGAATCCCGCGCTCAGGAACCTCAAAATACCGAAAATTGGGGGGTACCCCAGGCTAGGCTATGCCTAAACGTGGGCCGATATATCCCATCTTCGAACTTGACCTGCCTGCAGACAAAAGACAACTTTATGCAAAATTTCATCACCCTATCTCAATTCCTTCAGAAGAAGCGTGATTACAACAGACGGACGGACGTACAGACGGAAGGACGGACAGACGGACTAGATCGTCTTAGAATTTTACCCTGATCAAGAATATATACTTTATAGGGTCGGAAATAAATATTTCGATGTGTTACAAACGGAATGACAAAATTAATATACCCTCCATACTATGGTGCAGGGTATAAAAATATCAAATAATAGTACGTTTACATTTCGTTAAATTAAATTGTCAATTCCATTGTATATATGTCAAATAAATCCTCATAAATTATGTTAATCCAGTAAAACGTTCTTATGTAAATGGCGTTTAATATTACTTCATGAAGTGGATTGTACGATGGCACAATGAATAGGTAAGGTAGTCCATTTAGCGCAGCTGATGTCTTGATTAACTGTCAAAGTAGGTAATTTCTACATGAATTCGATGTGCAGTGTTGCCAACCATTTGAATTATTATATGGAAAAATTTGACAGATAATCGAGACAAAAACAAAGGTATTTGTTGTTATGCATCACCTTATTATTGCATCATGGGTTGTACGAACGCCTACGTTACAATAATAGTTCCGTTCCAGAACCTGCAATAATCTAAAAAATTTTACAAGTTTAGGAACTTTTTACTCGAAAACCGTTCCTGAACCCACAAAAAATGACGTTATCTTTATAAACTTTTTACTCAAGAAATTTAGCCGAATAAAAATGCTAACTAGAAATACCAACTTCTAAAAGAGTATTGTGTTCATTTTGAAGTATAGCCATCTAATTTGGCACTTTTACTAGTTTTCCGCTCTAGAACTATTCGAATAATTTTACTTACTAGACTACTATTACTAGACTACTTACTTACTAGAATTACTATTAAAAAATTATTGGAACAGACCAAATATTTTCTTAATATGAAAAAATGAAATTATAAAAGAACCATGATACAATAATAAGGTGATATATGAAAACAAAAACATTTGTTTTTGTTCCGACCATCTGTCAATTTTTTTCTAGTAGTATTTCATATTTATCAAAAGAAAAATCTGAAAAATTCAAATTTGTTGTAAAGTTATGAGCTTTTCAATATGTAGAAGAGGGCAAAAATGTGTACAGTACTAATTTGTGTATACAGTCCAAATTAATTAAATCGCTTCGTATTCGAATTATACGAATTCTGCCATCAGAATTACTTATGATTCTTTTAAACATGAATGAAGAGAATAATTTAAAGCAATTTTTCCGTCGATTTTGCATTTGGTTTCCTTGATATTGGACTTTTATTTTTTAGAAAGTTTGTACTGTATCTCCCGAATGCAAGGATGTAGCGATGTCAAATTTCGTTCATATCCTATCTAGGATACTTGCATTAAATCTCTGAACAGAAAATCGTTCTATGTTAACGGAAAAAATTCGGGCCACAAAGGGTTAATGGCATTTCTTTAAAACGGCATTTACATTAGAACATTTCACCATTTTAACCAACTTTATGAGGATTTATTTGACATGTGTGCAATAGAATTGACAATTTATAATACAATACAATGTGAACGTACTATAAGTTGCATTTTATTAAATTTAAATTGAATATCAGAGTAAATTTTTGACTTTTTTGCTATTCTCCTTTATTTATATATTTTAATTTATCGGTCTTAAGGCACCGAATGTGTTTTATGGAAAAAAGTCTAATGTAAATGCCGTTGAAACTCAGATTCCTATATAGATATAGATTCGGCCTTGAATGTTTGAGTTTATATATAAACTCACTTTTAGTGTTGTGCTTTCTTAGGGGAAGTCTTGAAATTTAGTTCATCAATACAATATAGAGATCCATTTAATTTAAACATATTTTAATAAACTACGTCACTTCGATTATCAATTCCCTACATATCATATCGATATATTTTCAAATACAACTCTGCTTTTGCATCAAGAAATAATCGCTTATCCCAAGATCTATTAATAAGGTCACCAAGATAGCAATCGAAATCGGAAAACAGCTGTTTTTTTCTCAAGTCTAATGTCAAAAATTTCGACTTTGTTTACGTTTTCATAATGGAAGTCAATTCACAATAATGCATTTTGACAGCAAACTTGAGAGGTATCGATTATCAGCTGGCCTCCCTGGGTGACCTTATTTATAGGCCATGGCTTATCCTAAAAGTAGGCTTCAAAATACGTTAAAATTCAAAAGCAGCCTTTATTCCATGGTACAATCATGGCACAATATGGAATAGGTAGTCCATTTAGCGCAGCTGATGTCTTGATTAACTGTCAAAGTGGGTAATTTCTACTTGAATTCAATGTTCAGTGTTGCCAACCACTTGAAATATTATATGGAGAAATTTGACAGATAATCGAGACAAAAACAAAGGTTTTTGTTTTGATACATCATCTTATGAATCATGGCATCATGGGAAGAACTAAGAAAATGCTGTAGTTTCGACTTTTTGACAATGGTGCTGGAAAAATGATTCGTGTTGCCATATTGTAATTTAAGCTATAATTTGTGTTGCCCAATTGTAATTTAATTTTATAATATGTATACCCTACACAACTATGTTGTCAGAGTATTATAGCTTTGTACAGCCCCAAATGTTTGTAACGCCGCGAAATATTGGTACTAGACCCACCTTTAAGTATACCGATCGTCATATCTCGACTAGCTGAGTCGATCTAGACAAGTGTGTCCGTCCGCCCGTCTGCCCATTATATATATATATATATATATATTTTTTTTTTTTTTTTTGTCTGATTTTCTGGTCGCTCCAGAGGCCGCAATTATGGCCCAAACATCGCGAATTTTTGCATGGAGAAGGGGATCGGGCCAAAGAATAAGCATGCCTGTTTTGATAAAGATCGGTCAATATTTAGCAGGTCAAATGGGCCCTGACTTTTGTGTGAAAAATTACAAAATTTGTATTCTATAGCGTATATATTTACCACTGAAGGACATAGACCCGAGAAGTTGATAATATACCGTAGAGGTGTGACTGACCTTTAAATTAATACCAATTATATTGACGTAGGTAGTCGTATGCGGGAGTTACACTTAAATATTTACAGGTGCTTACGTATTTATATATTATTTAGTAACCTATTACCACACTGGAGGGCGGAAATATAGCGCTGATCGCTATGAAATGTTCCATGAAGTTCCAGTTATGGTCAAGGACAACGCCCAAAATGCTAGGTGATGATCAGATAAAAATTTTTCGGATAAAGTCTACCGAAAACTTTATTATTTGTGCTTTTCAAAAGCCGAACATCACAATACAACCCAATGTTGTATTGTGATGACCACTAGCCATTCGAAAGTGTGCAAATATCGCGAAATATTGCCCAATCTCAGAATATAGAACCACAAAAAGTTAGATTTTCGTGGAAGTTGTGTAGGGTATCATCCTCCGTCCGACTATACTGCTCCGCTCACTGGTTTTCCCTTGTTTTATTGTTATTTAATAGAAATATTAACTCTATGCGCGGGGGATTTGGTGCATTGATTTAAAAATCGAGTCGATTTAAACGCTCTTTAAAGTTACATTAAAGCAATATATATTCATAATATACATAGTAACTGAACCATTATAACTATACATATCTAAATATTATCGTAATAATATTAATTACATCTAAAAAAAAAAAACAAAAATAAAACACCAATCAGTATCCATCTATAAAAAAGAAGGATATCTATTTTTTTTTTTTCTTTTAAAAAAAACAATTTATTACCAACAATATTTTTTTTTACATCAACCGTTTTTTCTTCTAAACAATATGCCTAAAATAATTAAAACTAAAAATGTGTGTATAATATCATAAGGCATAATTACTAAAATGATGCTAAAGAGGAAAAAGAGAAAGGAAATTAGAAAAATATACAAGAACTGTAAAAAAAGATTTAAATGCAGAAATAAGCTGTAAACAGCTGTTATGAAAATGTGTCAACAAATGCATTTTTTTTTAGAAGAGATCTAAAACTCCAGTCCATTTCAATAGATATTTAAAGAAGAAATATACAATGATGGTCTTGCAGACGCGATCAAGGACATACATGCTGGAAAGGAGAGAAAATACAGATTAGATGTCAATTAATATAGAAAATGTGATTTTAAATATAAGAACTAAAAAGATTTGAACAAGAAACCTCAAGTAAATGATAATTATTTGGCATTTAAAGCTATGCTAACCACTGAGAACTGAGGACTAGTGGTTCCCTACCTCTGCCAGGTCTGTCAATCTTCACAGACGGGTCCAAGACGGAGGAAGGCACTGGCGCAGGCGTCTACTGTAGGGAATTAGGTATACAGAACTCATATAAACTCAACAATGACTGTAGCGTTTTTCAAGCAGAGATTCTCGCAATCACGAAAGCGGCCGAAATAGTAAAAGCACTTAATGTCGACATTACGGGACCGGTGACTATTTATGTAGATAGTCAGGCGGCCCTGAAAGCGGTGAAGGCGCATACTATAAACTCGAAAGCAGTTCATGATTGTAAGACCTCTCTGAATGATATACGACAAATAGTTGGGCTATGCTGGGTTCCAGGACATAACGATATTGAAGGGAATGAGATAGCCGACGAGCTTGCTCGAGGGGGGTCACAGTCGTCCAGTCTTCTGATTGAGAGATCTGTGAAACCCCCCCTATCAGCTATTTCATTGGCAGAATCCGTGCGTTCCATTGCGAGGTAGGCGGTAACAGATGGCTAAGGGAACCTGCTTGTAGAATCTCTAAATCTATCTGGCCAGAATTCTCTCGTAAAAGAACGTCTTCGCTGCTGGAACACAGCAAGAGGGAGATCAAAATTGTTGTGGGGATTATTACTGGTCACTGTAAAGTTAGATCTCTCACTTCTAAGTGAGACTCCAGTGGAGAGGATTACTGTCGTCTATGTGAGGACGAAGAAGAACTGGAAACAATTGAGCACATCCTCTGTAAATGTCCATCGCTGATCAGCAGAAGACATAAACAGTTTGGATCTTATAAAATTGATAATCTAGTCTTCTTCTCCAAAATAGACCCTAACCAAATACTAGGCTTTGTCAAAAAGTTGACTTGGCTAAAATAATCTCTCTTCCGCCCCTTTCTTCTCATTATTTTCCTCTCTATTCTTCCACTATCTTTTTTCTTTTCTTTATAGGTACACCTATACATAAAGGATGATCACAATGGACATAGCTTCCGAGTGGACGGTTGTTACAACAACCGTACATCCCTAACCTAACCACTGAGAAAGTAAAACGGCATATACATTAGAACTTTTTATCGGGTTAACCTACTTTATGAGGATTTATTTGACATATATTCAAAGGAATTGACAATTGAAACCCACTGGGTTAACGAAATCCGGTTAAATGTAAACGTACTGTAAAGCATCACTAATCCATTGGATTATATTTGACCTATGTGCTATGAAATTGACATTTGAGACCGAGTGAATTTCGAATCTAAAGGCATTCTCAACAGAAGTTCCTGAGTAATTTTTAGTGGAAAGTAAATCGGACACATCTAGTAGCATTTTACATGGTTGGCAACATTCCACATCGACTTCAAGTGGCAACTATTTATTTTGGCAACTAATCGGCACAATGAATAGGTAGTCCATTTAGAGCAGCTATGTCTTGATTAATTGTCAAAGTGCGTAATTTCTATATAGATTCAATGTGCAATGTTGCCAACCATGTGAAATATTATAAGGAAAAATTTGACAGATGATCGAGACAAAAACAAAGGTTTTTTTTGTGATACATCACCTTAAACCCATGTTGGCGTTCGGCATTCCTGTAAAATTAGTATGGCTATGCAGAATAACTTTAACTGACACAATGCTAGCAGTTAATGTCGTTAAGGACCTATCAGAGCCCTTTAATACCAAACTAGGATTCAGACAATGTGGTAGTTTGTCGTATGATCTTTTTAACATTCTGCTGGAAAAGGTCATACCAAAGGCAAAGGTAAACAGAAATGACTCTGTGTGAAGTAAACACCACATTTTACGTCGCATGCGCCGATGACATCGATATAATGCGATCGGTAACAGCCACCTTTGAAAAAATTGAGAAGGAGTCTGGCAGTAAATGGTGAGAAGTCCAGGCTGATGACTCGGACCAACTGTGGAACTTGACAACTAAAGCATCGAGGTAGTCAAAGGTTTTATATAACTTGGTACCGCCATAAAAAACCTAATGGTATCAGTTTTGAAATACGGAGAAGGATAATGTTGGCCAACATATGCTAATATATGGTCTAAGTAAGCTGTTTAGAAAGAAGTCCACATGCCGCCAGACCAAACTCACACTCTACATAAAGCTGATACTACCCGCCATGGCAAATTGAATAGGTAGTCCATTTAGCGCAGCTGATGTCTTGATTAAATGTCAAATTGGATAATTTCTTCTCATCTACCTTGAGTATGTTGCCAACCATTTTAAATATTATAAGGAAAATTTTGACAGATAATCGAGACAAAAACTAAGGTTTTTGTTTTGATAAATCACCTTATTATTGCATCATGATACCCGCGCTGTTATATGGATCGGAAGCATGGGTACTTGCGCAAGCAGATGATGAAGCTCTTGAAGTCTTTGAGAGAAACATTTTCCGAAAGATTTTTGCGTTAACGGTGAATAACCATAATATCTATTCTCGGACATGGGCATTGTCAAACGTATCGAGCTGCAGCGATACGAGAATGAATGAGGATACCCCAGCACAAAAAAAGGGAGTCAACTGATGTCTCACGCAGAAGGCGAAGGCCACGAATTTTATGGAAAGATAAAGTGGAACACGGAACACGGTCTTTCAAATTGAAACTGCTCAGCGTGGCACAATAAATAGGTAGTCCATTTAGTTCAGCTGATGTCTCGATTAACTGTTAAAGTGCGTAATTTCTACTTGAATTCGATGTGCAGAGTTGCCAACCATGTGAAATATTATATGGACAAAAACAAAGGTTTTTGTTATGATACATCACCTTATTATTGCCTCATGCTGCCCAGCTTATGGAACAAATTTTCTGTCACAAGCCAGCTAAGTAAGTAATCCGATAATATCCTGATCTTGATAGAGTACCTATTTATTGTCTTATGAGTTTGAGGTTGATAACATGCTGATAGCGATGCCAACTGCGAAAACAACGACATGTGTTTTTATGTGGCAACGCAAAATCGATGGAAACACCTTTATCATGGCATAATGAATAGGTAGTCCATTTAGCGCAGCTGATGTCTTGATTAACTGTCAAAGTGGGTAATTTCTACTTGAATTCGATGTGCAGTGTTGCCAACCATTTGAAATATTATATAAAAACATTTAACAGATAATCGAGACAAAAACAAACGTTTTTGTTTTGATACATCACCTTATTATTGCATCATGGAAACACCTTTATCATGGCACAATAAATAGGTAGTCCATATAGCTGATATCTTGAGTAACTGTCAAAGTGGTTCGATGTGCAGTGACAGTGATTTTGACAGATAATCGAGACAAAAACAAAGGTTTTTGTTTGTTTGTCGTAGTCTCTGAGCCTGGTGCTAAGATTTGTATCGGGTTTAAATCAGGATTAATTTTGTTCCTAACTCTACTTTACTAATCGAAGTGGATCGTTTATAAAACCATGTTTACATCAAGCAGAATTTCGGCTTCGATTACAAACTGTTATAAACATTCTCAATTATATGTTTCTTGTTCAAATCTTTTCATGCTGGCGGTATTCCGCAAAACTCTACTTACAGTTTCAAATGAATTCTAGCTCTGGCTTGGTGCTCGGGCTTTTCTTTGAGTATGAAAAGACGACCACCCTTTGCACAGCTGATCATGTATTCTTCCTCCGTGTGAACGGGATCCATGTTCATGTTGAAGCTGAAAGGAAAGCAATAGAGGATTAATAATGATATTAGACAGATACTTTGTACAACTTTTGAAGATAGACATAAAATGGTAGATTGCCTACTGCACTTGATCATAAATTACGCATTTTAGGAAAATTCGTCATCTGTTATGCATATTATTAAGGGAATTGGCAATATAAATTACTCGTTTTGAAGTAGTATGGATGCAAGGCACAATGAATAGGTACTACATTTAGCACAGCTGACTATCCGATTAACTGTCAAAGTACAATGTTACCAACCATTTTCCAATTTAGGTGTCAGTGTGTAAAACGTTATTTGGGTACATTTATATCCAATGTGTTTTACGAAAATCGTAAATACAATTTTGACAATACCCAAAGGAAAAATCATAAAACACGTTCGGTGTAAATATGGCCGGTGGACTAACATTTACTTTGAAAATTCGTATTTTAAAAGGCCTAAGGTCTATCAATGAGACCATCCAAGAAGACCAGCTGCTCCTGAATCCATTATTGTGAATTAATTTACGTAATTGTGAATTGTTTACAAACATAACATATCAGGATATATTAATAAGTTCACCCAGCAAGCGAAAGTCAACTGTTTTTTCTCAAATCTAATGCCAAAAATTTTGACTTTGTTTAAATTTTCACAAATGGAAGTTAATTTACAATAATGGATTTTGAGAGTCAGCTGATACCCAGCTGGTCTCCATGAATGACCTTATTCATAGTCTTTGTTTGATACTATGTCGAGTAAGTGGCGCATCTTCGTATAAGACATAATTTAAGTGCCAGTGTGTACAGCGTAATGAGGGTATTTATTTATACCCAAAGTATTTTACGAAAATCATCAATATTTTGACATATACACAAAGGAAATGACAACATAAATGACGTTCATGTAACACGTTCGGTGTAAATGTGGCCTGAAGAGAAAAAAAATACTTCGAAAATACCATGGCACAATGAATAGGTAGTCCATTTAGCGCAACTGATGTCTTGATTAACTGTCAAAGTGGGTAATTTCTACTTGAATTCGATGTGCAGTGTTGCCAACCATTTGAAATATTACATGGAAAAATTTGACAGATAATCGAGACAAAAACAAAGGATTTTGCTTTGATGCATCACCATATTATTGCATCATGGAAAATACGTATTTTCAAATATGACGTGTGAACCAAGGCCTATTAATAAGGTCATTCAGAAAGATCAGCTGCTTGTTATGTTTGCTATCAAATTTCATTATTGTGAATTGAGTTCCATTTTAAAAACGAAAACAATGCTCAAAATTTTTGAAATTACATTTTAGCAGAACAGGTATATAATAGGACTTGACAAAAAAACTTATGCAAAGCCGGTAAAATAGGCAATCTTCCAATCAATTTCTATCATAAGCTGTCACAAAAAAATCTTTTCAAGTATACTTACATTTCCTTATCCTTTGGCGTTAAATTGGTCCACAGTGACGCATATCTATCTGATTTGAAGCACCAGGGGTTGAGGGTAAAGAATTGCAAAACTTCCAAGCCAGTAGCGATCTTTTGATGGACACGGACCATGCTATAAAGAAATTTTGGTTTTTAATATGACGTATTTTGCAATGAAGCCCTAAGTGCAGTACACACTATAAGTTTTGAATGACATTTCCATGTATGGAAAGTAACTGTCATTCCAAACTCAAATATTGTGTATTGATCTCGAGGAATACTCACAATCTCTTTTGACCGAATATCAACAGCAGGAAATCAATGAAATAGGCCGGCAACCAATGGAAGAATATGGTATTGAATTTATGATAGAATTTATTGGTGGTAAGGCAGGGATCTGGATACCAAAGGCCAGCATTCAAGGGATAGGCTTCATTGACACGTTTGCTCATTTCAATGATATCACCAATGGCCTTTTTACGATGCTCAGCATTGGTGATGTTATAGACGGGGATTTCTTCGGGTCTAAATTATAATTCAAAATATATATCAAAAATTTCCCTTTTTAAATTAATTTCATATAACTTACCTCTTACCCTTGTTGAATTCATAGGGTATAACAACTAAACCATTAATGGCATAATCCACTGGAATAAGTTCCGATTTGTTTTTCTTATCGACCAAAACGGAACGAATGACACCCTTACCACAACCGATCATAAGACCAGTGGGGCCATTCAAATTATCCACCCAACCGGGTAATGGTTCATAGGCAGCTGGTGATACTATTTATTGTGTAATTGAGGTGGTGGCGAGGGAGGAGGATAGATATGTAGAATGCCAATTAGTATGTGTGGCTTTGAATTGCAAATTGATAAACTTACTTTCGTATTATGGACATAATGACCAGAAGCATTTATACACATTTTTTTTTTATTATGATGATGATGAAGACGATGATGGTCATCGATGATGACAGGAACATTCCTCTCCAAAGAGAATTAATATGAATTGCATATGGCGTTTTGCGTTTGAGTGGGTGGGTGGATGGGTGTTAATGACGTATGAATTGGATTAGCTTATTTAATTTATTCCGAAACATATATAGAAGCATTTTGTTAGGAGCATAATTTGGGTTTTAATTTTTTAGGGGTGGAAATCTTTGTTAGAGATTTTTTTGTTATTTTTTTATACAAAATTTAATGAATACGATTATATACATTAAATACATTATTAGACAATATTTATAATGATAGACGTCATCAATATAAACGTAGTTGTACATATAAATAAAATTGACAGCACTGTTTGTTATCTAGTTTATGATTGGCAACGCTGGAGTCAGCTGCATTGTCCATTCACAATAGGCAATTTAAATAATGCAATTTAAGTGATTTGTATGTTTTATTCTTTGAATAGAAATTTGCCTAATAAAATGGTTATATTTAAAATCTATATGTTCTCACATGATTATATGTCATATTTCAAAAAATATATCCACCATTTTTGAAATATAATGTGGATAATTTGTTTTATTCTTTATGTCCGTATTTTAGACATATGCATTAAGCGTGCTTTCATTATAAACCCTCAATTATTTGTCATTTTCTTGGAATATATGTCAAATATTTAGCATCCATAAATATGTCAGATGTAAATGCAGCATAAAACTCGTATTTAATTACTATAAAAAAGATTACCCCGTTATATCAGCTGATTTTCAAGTTTGCTGTCAAAATACATTACTGTGTTTTTTATGCTCACTATGAAAATGCAAACAATCAAGTCAAAAAATATAAAAAAAATATATTTTTTGAATTACTTTCAAAAAATCCCAAAAATTCTTAATGAAAATTTAAAATTTCTTTATTATTTTGTTGAAAATAATCCAACAAATAATTTTTTGAACATTTCTGACCGAAAAATATAATTTTTTGACGTTTTTTTTTCATACTATGAATTCAATTCACAATAATGCATGTTTACACAAAACATGAGAAACAGCTGATTTAATCTTGGGAATTAGAGCGCGTTTAGACTACTAAATCCACTCGATTTCAAATGTCAATTTCATAGCGTATACGTCACATTAATCATGTTCACAAATCCAGTGGATTAAATTTGATATATACGCTATGGAATTGACATTTGAGATCCAGTGGATTTCGTAAATCGAAACGCTCTAGACGTTTTCTATAAAGGCTGTCTGGAGGTGAGGTATGAAGAGAAGGACTTATTTGAGGTCGTACCTAAATTCATGCGTATGCGTACGATTTTATTCACCTCAAAAGTTAAATACATGTATTTCAATGAATGTTACCCAAATACGCATTGCGTATAAAAATATAAAGTTGAAAATTTTCAACATTGACAATGCGTATTTTGAATTTTTTGTTTTTTGAAAATATAATACCAATCATTAAAAAATTTATTTTTCTATACGTGTTAGAAAATATTTTCATCCATTTTCGCCGTTTTCAATTGAAACACAATAAGGTCCTTGCGTATTTGGGTAATACGGACGTTCAACAAAGCCTATAAAGGTGAAAAGGTGAGTATATTTGTACGGAGCGCAATAAATTAGGTACGACCCTGAAAAGAACAGCTCATGATATTATAACCCAGATATTTAGGAAGAATATTTTATGGATATCATCTATAGGAAGACCTTTATATAGACCTATATGGCTGACTAACTGTTAGTTAATCTTGAAATTCGTAATTCCAACTATACTTTCTGCAGACTACAATTCTCTTTTCTGTTGAAAGTTATTTGGAGTAAATAAAAACAGCTGATCGATATTCTAAATGTCAGAAAACCAAATATTTTAATAAAGTCAAGTCGCATGCCAAAAATTTTGTCGTTGTTAACGTTTTCATAATGAACATCAATTCACAATAATAGATTCTGACAGATGAGACTACATTTCTTCTGTCTGCTGAACATCATTTATAGTGAATAAAAATAAAACAGCTGATCGACACTTTTAATTTCAAAATCCAGATCAAATGATAAGCTCATCCATTACACTTGAGGAAAACAGCTGATTTCCTCCTGTCAAAATGTCCAAAATTTGGACGTTGTTAATGTTCTCAAAATTTTGACAGCAAACTTGATAAGCAGCTGATATCCAGCTGGTCTCCCTTGGATGACCTGATTAATAGACTTTGGATGAGACTATATTTCTTCTGTCTGTTGCACATCGTTTTGAGTACACAAAACAGCTGATCGATACTCTAAATGTCAAAATCAAAATATATTTATCAAGTCACCCAGCAAGCGAACGTCAGCTGTTTTTTTTCTCAAGACTAATTTCGAAAATTTGGAGGTTGTTTAATTTTCCAAATGGAGGTCAATTTACAATAATGGATTTTGACAACAAACTTTAGAAGCAGCTGATATGTAGCTGGTCTCCATGTGCGTCCTTTTAGTGGGTCTTGGTCAAAATGCTTTTTATTGTTAGTAAATCATAAAACATGATCCAAAAGGGTTTTCTGCAACTAGTTGATAAGCAGATCTACTGTCAACTCTTTTTAATGTCAGTCAGCTGATTTTCATATCAACTGTCATTAATTATTTAGGCGACAAGAAGGCAAATTGTGGCGCTGTTAACACTCGACAATCGGGAGGCGGGCCAATAACTTAAAATACAAAAAAAAAGAAGGCAAATCAATCACAATGGTTTTTGTAAGTTCAACCACAAAATACAAAATAACTCTTATTGGGATTGTATTAACTCCATACTGTCAATAGCTTTTTAACAACACAGTTAATATCAGCTGATTTTCCAGTTAGATCTTTTATGAAGAACATGTATTGACTTATTTAATTTCCTGTTAATAAGATTATCTAGAAAGGGAGAGACTCAGGTTTAATGTTTAAATTTTGGACGATGTTTAGGTTTCCATAATAGAAGTCGATTCACAATAATGGATTTTGACAGCAAGCTTGAGAGGCATGGATCATCTTATTTATTACAGGCTTTGGTCAGTGTAATATATCAAAAAATAGAAGTATATTGAGATTTTAATTTTTCATCTAAAAATAACATATAATTTAGTGTCTGTCAAATTAGATACGTGCATCATTCACAATAGTATATATGTAAATATTAACAACGTATAAACCAATGCGCAATGAATAGGTAGTCCATTTAGCGCAGCTGATGTCTTGGTTAACTGTCAAAGTGGATAATTTCTACTTGAATTCGATGTGCAGTGTTGCCAACGATTTGGAAAAATTTGAGTAATATATCAAAAACAAAGGTTTTTGTTTTGATACATCAACTTATTATTGCATCATGGATACACCTTAATCATGGCACAATAAATAGGTAGTCCATTTAGCGCAGCTGATATCTTGATTAACTGTCAAAGTGGTCTCTCTGGTACAAACCAAGATCTATTAATAAGGTCATTCAAAGTCATCGAAAGTCTCAAGTCTTATGTCAAAAATTTTGTCTTTGTTTACGTTTTCATAATGGAAGTCAATTCACAATAATGGATTTTGACAGCAAACTTGTGATACAGCTGTTATCCAGCTGGTCTCCCTGAATGGCCTTATTTGTAGACTTTGGTATAAACACTGTGTATGTGGAGATAGATTAGGGCGGTTCACACGTTTATGAGAAATGATCAATTTCTTTTGTGGTATAGGCATATGAGAAAAGTATGAAAGTAATTGAAATTGGTGTTGCGTATGGTGTTTGAATAGTTTTACTATATGAAATAGGATAGTAAATGTGTTTTTTTTTTTTGAAATTTAAAATATATTTATAAAAATCTACGATGATCTACTAGTGTAACGACAAAACTATATATTTTTGTGTTTAATCTATGGAAATGTGTATGTGCGTGTTTTTTTTCTACGGTGTCTTTTTTGAAATGTGTTTGGTAAAATTTTGAGTGCCAAAAATATACGTTCTGTAAAATTTTGTTTCCGAAAAGTACATTTCTACAATGTGTAACTGTATTTCTGGGTGTATGTAATGGAAAGGAATTACAGTGAATCGCCAAAATATTAAATTTTTGTAAAATTTTGGTTCAAATATTCTGATTTGGAATATTTGTAATTGTATTTGAGTGTATATGGTGTAAAAACGACTATGTTTTACTAATGGAAAAATGGTATTCAATGGTTTATTAATTGGGAAATTGCTTTTAGCAATACATACCATTCACAATAGAGTAGTTTCTGTTGATTATTTTACTGGGATTAGACACAGGTTTTCATATATTTTTATTTGGAAGACTTTTTTACACACATCACATTTATCAAACAAATCAAACAATTTATATTCAATACAAATTAACATTGGATATTATCCAAATGTTTTTGTTTATTTGTAAACCAAAAAAAAATATTTTTTTTATTAACACAATAACCCTTTATAAAGCATTTTTAGTTACATATATATCAAGAAGTTTTAAGCGTTATAAAAATATAATAATATCATAATCAAAAATAAATTGCATATAAAAACTGTAAAAATAAATCAATAAAAATCATTCAGCATTTAAATTATCCTGTAATTAAATGATTAACCATATTGTAGGTCCAATATGATAATAAACCAATAATAACAGCTTTGCAAAAACGATCGAGTACATACATCCTATAAAAGAAGTTTTGTAGTTTTTTTTTTATTGGTATTGGGAAATATATTTTTTATTGGAGGGGAATGGGGAAAATTTGCCTTACATTTTCAATTGTCTTCTGGCTCTTGGCAAAGAATCGGGTGATTCTTTCATTAAATATAGACGACCGCCTTGTATACAGCTTGTC